CTATGATTAGTAGTAGTATCAGTAGTAGCGCCTTTGACTCGTTGATTCGCCTTGCTCCTCCATCTCCTCCTTCTACACGCCTTTCACTTATAAATACTTTCTCCCTGTCGTGCCCCAAAGCCAGTTTTAGGGCGGGCTGAGCGTGTCGCCGGAGACTTCCTGACAATCTACAACCCTTCAGCTCAAAGCGTGGCAGCAGCTTCACAGGTGCAGGGCAGCGCCGCGCACATTTGATGCTAACAAGTTACACGAGCTTCACGGATTGAGGGCGGATGGTTTTCAAAATGTGGCTCTCGCCTTCGCGCCGCGCGCATTCGCTTTTTTGAAGAATCCAGGAGCTTCACGGATTGAGGGCGGTTCCTTTTCAAAGTGCGGCTCTCGTCTTAGCGACGTGCACATTTGTTGTAAACACTCGCAAAGGTTTCACGGAGTAAGGGCGGCTGGTTTTCAAAAGGTGGCTCTAGCCTCAGCACCGCACACATTCGTTCATAAAACTTCGCATGGGTTTCACGAATTCCCATGATCAGCGTACCAGGATATTTGTTTTAGAAGGACTCAGAAGTCCAAAGGATGGCGTTCTGGCACGATTCTGAATCGTCAAGACGAAACAGTGAGGTTGATCAGTGGCGTTGGAATCCTGAGAACATTGTTTTGGCACGCGTCAAGATATTCACACGGTTGTCCTCCAACGGCGCACTTCCCTCACTGGGAATAAGCCAATGTACGGGCCTGTGAAGATGGAGCTTGGAGGGAGGGTTTATTCCAACATAGTTGATGAGCCTTGGGTTCACACTGGTCCTCCTCCTCCTCCTCTTCCTCCTCCACCTCCTCCTCCCCCTCCCCCTCCTCCTCCCCCTCCTCCTCCTCCTCCTCCTCCTCCTCCTCCTCCTCCCCCTCCTTCTCCTCCTCCTCCCCTTCCTCCCTCATCCTCCTCGATCTCCTCCCCCCCCACCTCTTCCTGCTGGTCCGCGTGCGGGCGGCCAGGGGAAGGCGAGAGGCTGATAGGCAGCTGGCACCAGCGAGCCGACCCAGAATTCCGCCGCCATGACTCGCTCGCAACGTGGACGTGCACTCCCAAAGCCCTGGACTTTCTCCCCGTGACCGGCTCTTCGTCTAGATCGCCGCCTTGGTTGACGGCCCTGGGCGCCCAGTGAGCACCTCCGGGGAGCGGAAGTTACCCCCAAACCTGCCGCCGTCAGTCCCCAGCATCATCCGTCCTGATATTTCAGTGTGCGGCCCCAGAAATCCCGAGCCCTTCCCCGGTGCCAATTTCTCGCCCCCGGTCCATTCTCGCTGGCCCCTGGGCTCGATGCCGGGCACTGGAGGACGAAATCGAAGAACGCCCGGATCGACAGAATCATGTCGCGGAGGATTTGGGGCCAGTTTGATCCGCAGCGGGAGGAGGAGGAGGAGGAGGAGGAGGAGGAGGAGGAGGGATGAGGAGGAGGAGGAGGAGGGAGGAGGAGGAGGAGGAGGAGGGAGGAGGTCTGGGTCTCAAACGCCCGCCCACGGCGAGGGCGGTGTGAACGGTGGCGCTCCTGGTCGTGCCTCTCTTTTCTGCCCCATCTGGGCCGCGCGACGTGGTGCCGCTCCTCTGCGTGGCGGAGCAGCCTCGGCCGCAGAGGTGAGGAGGGAGGGGTGAGGTGGCGAGGGCAGGGGGGGGAGGAGGAGCAAGGAAGGAGAGAGAAGGGAAAGAGGTGGGGAGGGAGGACGAGGGAGGGGAAAGAGGGAGGAGAGACGAGCTGGGTGCGCAGGCGTCATAGCTGACGTCCTATCCCTCCATCCCATCCATTACCACTGCGTAGGTATCCTCTCTGTTCGCACAGTCGGATGCCGAACAAGGTAATGATCCCGAGAGAGTACGCGATGCATGGTGTAGCACGGCAAAGTATGGCATCGTGTTGAGAACGCGACGCATCTCGACAACAAGGTCAGAAGGAAACCGGAAATGACACAGGACAGGAAATGCAAATGGACGGTTTGGAAAGCGGGCAGCGCAAACTGAGATCAGCGCTGCAACGGGAAAACAATATTCGAAGGACCGAAACCACAGAAATAACACCAGCGCTGCAGTGGGCGCACGATTTGGAAGGACTGGAAGCGCAGAAACGAAGCCGACGCTGCAGCAGGAGCACGAATTGGAAAAAACGACACAATGAAATCAGGTCAGCGCTACGATGGGAACATGAATCGGAAGGACTGAGAATTGCAACATGGAGCCAACGCTGTAGCGGGAGCGCCATTCTGAAAGGACTGAAAACGTTCGGATTGGAACAACACATCTTCATTATCAACTCGACGGCATCCTGTGTGCAAAAACAATACATACGCTGAGGAGGCCAGGACACCTCACCGGCGCCTTCGGGGGAGAGAGGAGAGTAGTACGAATGCTGCGTACTTGAGGAGGGTGAGGGACAAGAAAGAAGGAGGAGAGAGGAGGGAGAGAGGGGGAGAGAGGAGGAAGAGAGGAGGGAGAGAGAGGAGGAAGAGAGGAGGGAGAGGAGGAGGGAGGAGGCAGAGGAGGGAGCGTGGAGGAGAGGAGAAGGGAGCGTGGAGGAGAGGAGGAGGCAGAGGAGGGAGAGTGGAGGAGAGGGGAGGAGACGAGAGGAGGCCGGGAGGCCGGGAGGCCGGGCCGGCTCACGCCAGCAGGGCGCCCGCGCACGCCAGGGCGGCGGCCGCGAGCAGCGCGAGGCCGCCGCGCGCGGAGGCGCCGCTGCGCTCGGACGACTCGCCCGAGAAGACCACGAGCTCCTCGGGATCGGGGGGCGGGGCCAGGTCCTCCTCCTCCTCCTCCTCCTCCTCGGTCCTCCTCCTCGGTCCTCCTCCTCGGTCCTCCTCGGTCCTCCTCGTCGGAGGGGAGGGTCCTCCTCGATCCTCCTCCGCCTTCTCCTCCTCCTCCCCCTCCTCCTCCGCCGCTCTCCACCTGCTCCTCTTCTTTCTCCTCCTCCTCCTGATCATCCTCCTCCTGCTGCTCCTCCTCCTACTGATCCTCCTCCTCCTCCTCATCCTGCTGCTGCTGCTCCTCCTCCTCCTCTTCCTCCTCCTCCTTCTCATCCTCCTCCTCATCATCATCAGCAGCAGCATCATCGACATCATCATCATAATCAGCATCATCATCACCACAATCATCATCATCATCATCATCATAATCATAATCCCAATCAGCATCACCATCATCATCAACATCATCATCATCCTCATCATCACCATCATAAACATCGTCATGATCATCATCATAATCATAATCATCATCATAATCATCATCATCATCATCATCATAATCATCATCATCATCATCATCATCATCATCATCATCATCATCATCATCATCATCATCATGATCATCATCATCATCATAATCATCACCATGATCCAACATCGTCAACATCATCATCATCCTCATCCTCATCCTCATCCTCATTCTCATCATCATCATCATCATCATCATCATCATCATCATCATAATCATCATCATCAGCATCATCATCCTCACGCGCTTCCACCTCCTCCTCCTCCTCCTTCGCCTCCTCCTCCAACGAGGTTCGAGTATCGGGGTTCGGGGATCCGGACCGACTCGCCCGACAAGACAGCGAGCTCCTCGGGATGGGGGACCGAGGAAGTTCAGGGTCGAGGATCGGGGCTGAAGGTGCTCAGAGTTTCGGCAGGTTTTCCGAAGTTGTCGGGGTTTGTCGGGGCCCGGGTTAGATATCATCAGCTGCGCCTCGCCGAGGGCGGCGTTCTGGGAGTGCCAGAATCGTCCCGAACAGCCGCCAGAGGCCCGAACTATGGCCCGAAAACCATTTGGATCATGGGCAACGTTAGGGATGCGGGGCAAACTCCTCCTCCTCCTTCTCCTCCTCCTCCTTCTCCTCCTCCTCCCTCCTCCTCCTCGTCCTCGTCCTCGTCCTCCTCCTCCTCCTCCTCCTCCTCCTCCTCCTCCTTCTCCTCCTCCCCAGGGCAAGGGTCGGCGGGCTGGTGCAGCACCCGCGACGCGCCGTGTGGGAGCTCCAGTCCACGCCCGGGGTCCTGTCCGCGCGTGGGCCAGTCTCAGCACCTGGGCCACCGAGCGCCACACCGTGGTCGGGGGAGGCCTTCCCTTCTCCTCCTCCTCCTCCTCCTTTTCCTCCTTCTCCTCCTCCTCCTCCTCCTCCTCCCTCCTCCTCCCCCCCCCCTCCTCCCCCTCCTCCTCCTCCTCCCTCCTTTTCCTCCCTCTCCTCCTCCTCCTCCTCCTCCTCCTCCTCCTCCTCCTCCTCCTCCTCCTCCTCCTCCTTCTCCTCCGGTGGGGAAGGGAGGGGGGCCCAAACCCTGGACCATATATGTATATATGTATGGGCATATCTCTATAAATAAATGTATGTATGTATGTATATATATAGTATACATACATACATACATGCATCAGTAATGGGGCCCGAACGGTCATTAAATGTCCCTGGGTGCGTGGCTAAAGTGGGGATCCGTGGTGAAGATTCTGCTTGGTGCGTTGAAAATGTTGTTTGTTGTCGTCGTCCCACGCGCGACCCACTTGTGACCCACCCCGCGACACACACCCCGACCCGCCCCGCGACCCACCAAGCGACCCACCCCGAGACCCACCCGCGACGCACCCCGCGACCCACCCGCGACCGACCCCGCGACCCACCCGCGACCCACCCGCGACCCACCCCGCAACCCACCCCGCGAGCCACCCGCGACACACCTCCCGATCCATCCGCGACCCGCGCGCAACCCACCCGCGACCCACCCGCGACCCACCCCGAGACCCACCCGCGACCCACCCGCGACCAACAGAGACCCACCCGCGACCCACCCGCGACCGACCTGCATTGGCTTCAAGAAAAAATCGGCGCCTGCGGCGAACTCGTCGTATAAGTTCTGAAACTTTGGCGCCTGCGGTGGCCTTCCCCGGAGTCTCGCAAAATACCGACGCGCCCATCACCCCCTCACCCTTATCCGTGCTACGTATACATAGATGTACATACATATATGTATATGTATACACGCACCCTGGGGCCCGAATGCATCCACAGATCGGCGGCCTGCCGAACTCCCCGAAGATCAAGCCTCCCGGCGGTGCGTTATGGATAAATTTCCCTTCTAGAACTTGATGAGGCGCGTGGCGCCCTCCCTGGTTTGGCTGACCGAAAGGCGGCGCAGGCGATGAGAGAGGGGGAAGTAGTTCGCCACGAGCTGAGAAGCGTTCCTGTTTTTTCTCCAAACGTCGATGCATGGCTGTCGGTGACCGTCTATGGCGCGCCCGTCGCCCATGTGTCGTCGCCGGTGTAGCCACTGCAGTGAAGTCCCTTAACTCAGAATATTCATCGAGCTGTTTCGGCTGATAACCAGTAGTTTGCCACCAAACGTTCTGTTGAGGCACTGTTTGACGGCAAGAATATAGATGATACGACTTATTTGTACCATTCCACATCAAGCCCCTTGGACTGCATTGGGGTCTCTGCCCCCCTGAACACTGCACGGAAGGCTCCAAAAGATGTGAAGTGAAGTATCCGTTCAAGTCTGTACCCCCCCTGCGGCCCGCAGGGGCCACTTGAGGCAAATGACTACGGAGGATAGAAGAAAGCAGGAGAAAGGACAGAATGAGGGAAGCATCGCCAGCTGACGCTGCGAGTGCTCGTCAGGAGTCCTGGAAAACTCCTGTGTTACTGGAGTAATAAAAACTCCCCCTGTCCAGCGTAGTCGACGAGTGCTGCGCACTCACTCGCGTATCTTAGTGCGCTCTCAGGATAAAGGGAGGATCACGAACTCTTTCTCGTGCCAGCCAATCTCTTTCTCAAACCAATTCTGAAAACCGTCGTCAACAAGCACGTCCCACCTGCAAGCTATTTCACTTTCTTTCAAGAGGGACGAGGAATTCCTTTGAACCACCGTTCCAGTTCGTTCGCCATCGCACGGACTTGGAGAGAAATCCAGAACACGATCACCAGCAATAGGCTCTCGAAAATGAAATGCATCTCGAACCCGGACCCATGCCGGCCCAGGGGGCGGGCGGTACTCGAAGAGAGACTTGTGGTTTGGATCCACGGCAGGCGTAGCCACTGCAGCGCACCCGGCATCGAGGACAACCTCGCGCTGCTCCTCGTTCTCGGCGCCCGGACCGATCTCGAAGCAAACGGCGCCCCCTGGATGTTGCACAGTCTGTCGTTGCTGATTGTGCGTGTCTTCTCGGGCCTCTGCGTCTCCCTTCCCGCAGCCGTCAGTCTGGCTGGCAGCAGCGGCGACGCCTTCGGGCTGGCCGAAATCGTCTGGAGGAAAGTTGAGAGCTGGTGCCTCTGCAGCCTTGGCGTCTGGCGCCTCGGCAGCTGCCGCCTTCGCGCTTGGCGCCTCGGTAGCGTCGGGCATCTTGAAGCAATCGTTGAGCGAGTTCTGCATCGTGCACAAGCTCTCCTGCATCACCTTCAAGTTCTTGTGTGTGAGATCAATCACACTGTTGCCCTCGTTCTTGAGATTCAGGATGGCTTTCATGATCTCCTCCGCTTTATTTTGCGAATGGGGCTCTTCGTGCACGACCTGACGAGCTGAGAAGCGTTCCTGTTTTTTCTCCAAACGTCGCTGCATGGCTGTCGGTGAGCGTCTATGGCGCGCTCGTCGCCCATGTGTCGTCGCCGGTGTAGCCACTGCAGTGAAGTCCCTTAACTCAGAATATTAATAGAGCTGTTTCGGCTGATAACCAGTAGTTTGCCACCAAACGCTCTGTTGAGGCACTGTTTGACGGCAAGAATATACATGATACGAATTATTTGCACCATTCCACATCAAGCCCCCTGGCCTCTGCATTGGGGTCTCTGCCCCCCTGAACACTGCACGGAAGGCTCCAAACGATGTGAAGTGAAGTATCCGTTCAAGTCTGTACTCCCCCTGCGGCCCGCAGGGGCCACTTGAGGCAAATGACTACGGAGGATAGAAGAAAGCAGGAGAAAGGACAGAATGAGGGAAGCATCGCCAGCTGACGCTGCAAGTGCTCGTCAGGAGTCCTGGAAAACTCCTTTACTACTGGAGTAACAAAAAACTGGAGAACGTTAAGGGGAAGTGGCTCAGGGTGGGAAGCGCCGACCAGGAATCGGCGATGGAAATAGATCGTCGAGAGGCGCCCAGCGAAACCGCATGCTCCTGGGCGCAGCGGGCCATCCGGCCCGTGTCGGCGATTGGGGGTCGATGCGCTCACTTTCTCCTGAGTTGTATCCAGGGAAGACCAACAGGTACCGATACCGCTACTCCCCAGACCTCTCCCAGGGTGCGCTCTGACCAGAACTTCGAGGCGAATCCGGCGGTGGCGACGAGGGCCTCCAAGGAGGCAGTGAAAAGGGGAAAACGGGCGAAGAATAGAAGTATGGGCAGCTGCTCCTCATCTGATAGCTCCCCCCCAGGCACAATCGGCGCCTGACCCCTTGGTAGTCCCCAAACGTGGTGGTGACAACACCTGGCGGTGAGTCTCGGGCGATTTGGTGTCACCACCCGGTTTGGGGACTCGTGCGGTTTTCCGAGGATGTCCCGAACACTGGTGGGTCCAGGAGTCACAAAACCCGGTGGTGACCCCGTGTCCCCAAACCCAGCTGTGACCTTTATTGGAGATTCCAGGTCGCCGCCTGGTATCTCACCACCCGGTTGGGGGGTTCCCAGGGCCCCCCTCGGCCGCCCGGCGCGACCCCGGGATCGAGCCCGTCAAGCGGCCGACAACAAAGGGCCGGGCGCCCGCAGAGCCCTGCTGGAACGTCGGACCCGCCTGGCGCCAGGCGCGCACCCCACAGCGGCCGAACGAGCTCAGACGCCAACTGGCCATCGCTCGGGCGTCCATTCCCTGTGTTTTTGTTCGGTTTCGTGCGTGGCTTTTTTCGCACAAGGATCAAGGATGCTCCTCGATGGTCCTCGCCGTAGGAAACATGCACACGTCCGAGCGATGCCAAGCCAAGGGCCCGACGCCCAGAACCCTGAGCCCCCCCCACGTTCAAAAAAATGCATTCGGGGAATCACGGACCCGGGTCGATCCAAATCCGGGTGGGTCGAGCTCTGCAGGATCCTTCTGGGCCCTGCAGGATCCTGAGCCCTGGCCCAGGTCAATGCAACCCAGGCTCTGCAGGATCCTACGAGAGCCGCCGCTGTGGCTGGCCCCTGTTTGCACTGACCCCCGTCTTGAGGGGCAACGCTACGGGGAGATCGGCATAGGGGGAGGAACATCGACCTCGAATCGGCCATGCATCGCTGATAGAGCCGCGACAGGCCCCCGATGCTGAATCCGCATGTTCCTGGGCGGGTTGGGGCTGTCGGGCCCCCATCGGCGATCAGTGGGCGATTGGGGGTCGATGCATCCCCCCCTGTGCCTATCCTGCGGGCAGTATTTATATCCATATCCAGAGCGTCGCGGACTTTTTGGGGAGAGGTGCCGCAACGCCGAGGCGCACTGGATATGGATAAAATCAAGCCTCTTGGGGCCAGATTCTTGTCCATATCCAGTGCGTCTACGGTTTCTGGGGGAGAGAGCCCCAGAATCCAAGACGCACTGGATGTGGATATAACTATTGCCCGCATATCCACCCCCATCGTTGCACTGACCCCCCCCGTCTCTTGCGCCCCGACACGGCTCACGTCTGATCCCGCCTGCGGAGGCCTCCCGCCGAGGGCGGCGGGTGCGCCGAGGGCGAGGCGATCAATGGGCGATTGGGGGTCGATGCATCCCCCCCTGTGCCTTTCCACCCCTATCGTTGCACTGACCCCCCCGGCCGATCAATGGGCCATTGGGGGTCGATGCATCCCCCCCTGTGCCTATCCACCCCTATCGTTGCACTGACCCCCCCCCGTCTCTTGCGCCCCGAGACGGCTCGACGTCTGCTCCCGCCTGCGGAGGCCTCCCCCGCCGAGGGCGGCGGGTGGTGCGCCGCAGGCGAGGCCGCCGCCTCGGCAGCGCCTCCCAGGGACTCCGATGGGGAGCCCCACGGGGGCCCCGGGGCGCGGAAGTCTGCGGGGAGCGTCGACCCGACACACTTCGGCAAAATAGGCCCCCCCCCCTGGAGGGTCTGATGTGTTGTTTCTGCGGCCCCCCTCCTCCGGAGGGGAATGAGGAGGAGGAGGAGGAGGAGGAGAAGGAGGAGGAGGGGGTGGAGGAGGAGGAGAAGGAGGAGGAGGAGGAGGAGGAGGAGAAGGAGTAGGAGGAGGAGGAGGAGGAAAAGGAGGAGGGATCCAAGGAGAAGCAGAAGGAGAAGGAGGAGGAGGAGGAGCAGTAGGAGGAGGAGAAACAGGAGGAGAAGTACGAGGAAGAGGAGTAGGAGGAAGAGGAGGAGGAGGAAGAGGAGGAGGGAGGAGGAGGAGAATGCGGAGGAAGGGAAGAGGAGGAGCAGAAGGATGAGGAGGAAGATGAGCAGGAGGCGGAGGATCAGGGCTAGTCGGAGCAGGAGCAGCAGGAGGAGGAGCAGAAGGAGGAGAGGGAGGCGGAGGAGAAGGAGGAGGAGGGGGCGGAGGAGGAGGAGGAGGAGGAGGACCAGTGTAAACCCGAAAGTCATCAACGATGTTGGAATAAACCCTCCCTCCGAGCTCCCTCTTCATAGGCCTCTACAGCGCGCCATTTCCACTGAGGGAACTGCCTCGTTGGAAGACAACCGTTTGAAGACCCCGAAGCATGCCAAAATATTGTCCTCGGGATTCCAACGCCAGGAATCAACCTGATTGTTGCGGCTGGGCGATCCTGAATCATGCCAGAACGCCATTCCTGGGACATATAACACCGCGAGTCAACGCAGCTGCTGCGCCCTCATAATCCCGAATCCTTCCAAAACACCATTTCCGGTACGCTGATCATGGGAATCCATGTACTTATTGGAAAGTATAAAACCAATTCACGCGGCGCTAAGGCGAGAGCCACATGTTGAAAAGGAACCGCTCTCAAACCGTGAAGCACTGTTTAAAACAAATGCGCGCGGCACTGAGGCGAGACCCACATTGTGAAAACGACCCGCCCTCAATCCGCGACACCCTTGCAATTTTTTGAAACGAATGCACACGGCGCTGAAACGATAACCACATGTTGAAAACGGCCGGCCCTCATTCCGTGAAACTCTTGTTACGTGTAAGAAGAATGCGCGCTGTGCTAACACGACACCCAAATTTTGAAAACAACCCGCCATCCGTCTGTGAAGCGGTTGCCCATGTTGAATTTTCAGGGTCGTAAGTGGTGAGGAAGTCTCGGGCGAAAGGACGGGCCCGACGTAAAAACTGGCCTCGGTGTGCGACAGGGAAAAATTATGTACAAGGACAAGGAATGGAGGCGGGAGGAGGAGAAAGAGGAGGAGGAAGAGGAGGAAGAGGAGCAGGATGAGGAGGAGGCGGAGGAAAGCGAGGAGGAAGAGGAGGAACAGGAAGAGGCGGAGGAGGAGGAGGAGGAGGAGGAGGACGAGGAAGAGATCGCGCGCGGTTTCCTGGGGAAGGCCGTCGGGGCCGCCCACGCGCATGATGACGTGCCTGCCGCCCTCGGAGGCCGATAATGCCACCGTCTTGACGCTCTTGCTGCTCGAATCGTCCAGGGTGACCTGGTAGCCCCCCGGGGCGAGGCTCACGGCCGTGCCGGCCTTCAGCTGCGCCGACTCCTCTGCGAAGCGGGGATCTGTCCATACCTATTCACTGGGGGAAAAAACGTCCCGAGGCCCCAAAGGGGCAAAAGATTGGCTTCAGGGGGGCCGAATCTATTCATATCCGTCGCCTGCCGAAGTCCCCGGAAATCGATCCCCCAGGCGGTGGATGTGGATAATAAGCTCCCGCCTCGGATCCTTCCCGTGCCCCTTGCCGTACGCGATCTTCAGAGTGCCCTGCGCGCTGCCTTCGTACGCATCGACGACCGCGAGCTGCGAATTCTGCTGCGCGACCGAAAACGCGTGGGAGTAGAAGGTCGCCGCCATCGTGCCGTTGCCCTTGCGGTACGGGACCAGCAGCAGCGACGTGGGGGCGAACGGGAGGTTGCCGACGTGGAACGTGCCGACGCTGAGGCCCCCGAGTTTGAAGTCCGCTGGCCCCATGAGGGTCTCTAGGCGCATGAGATTCTTCGTTCTCCTATCATACCTCACTGATGGCGTCGCCCGGGGAGGGCGGGGCCCAGCTCCGCCCGCGCCCGCCGTCGGGGTCTGCGCGCAAATGCGCGCGCGGGGGGCAGCGGGCGAAAAACGGTCGCCGCGTCTCGATCGCCTTTGTTGCGGCGTGGCGCTCATTTGTATTTGGGCAAGGCTCCAGCTCTTCAGCCGCGACAGCGTCGCCAACAAGCGCGGGCCTGCGCCGCCGCGGCGGCCCGCGATGGCCCGCGCGCCTCGGCTTCGGAGGCAAGGCAGCAACTCGGCCGCGAATGCTTCGGCGTCCAGACACCCCTGCGGCGCCCGCGCCGCCTCTTCAAGGCACACGCGAAGCTCCGCCGCCATGGGGGAGCGTCGTGAATCGGACGGGCCGGGGCGCTAAGCGACGCCGCGGCCACTCCGCGCGCGCGCGCAAACAGGCGCGACGCTGCGCGCGCGCCGGGCACGAGCGGGCGAGAGCGAACGCGAATGCAAATGTCGACATATTTTTGCCCGCTGCCCCATCGGCCGCCGCGGTGGCAAGCGGGCGCAAACTAATCAGCCTCGCGATAGCGCGATCGCCAGCAGAAGCTCGCAGCGCAATTTGCTCGCGGGCCGACGCAGCCAGGGGGCGGCACAATTGCCCGCTGGGCCCAATTAGCCAGAGTGCACCGATTACATTGGCGCAATCGCCAATGGAGGGCCCCGAAAACACAGGAGGTGGCGCAGTTGCCAGTGGGTCCCCAGCTGGCCAGCAGGCGCCAAGTACCTTCTGTGACGGCGCAATTGTTGGCGGGGTCCAATTAGCCCATGAGGCGGCGTATTTGCTGGTTGGCCCCAAGTGGCTGGCGGCCGCCAGCCCAGGAGATGGCGCAGGCGCCAGCGGGCCCGAAACAGCAAGCGGGCTTTAATCAGCCCTGGAGATGGCACAGTGACCAGTGGGCCAGCAGGTTCGAAGCAGCTATTTGCAATGG